CGCGGCCCGGACGCTGGCAGCAGGGCGCCCGGCTTGGGCGGGGAACCCCGAGGATGCCCCGCTCCCGGTTTAACCCTCTGCTGGGCAAACAGCGCGGGGCCGGGCGTGCTGGGCGAACTCCGCGGCCTCCAGGACGCTTCCTCCCCGGGAAAGCCGAGGGAGGGTGGTTCCGGGCGTCTGAAACTAGCAGACACTTCTGCGCCCACGTGTGGGGTGGGGATGCGCGCGTTCGTCCCGGGATCCGAATCGACGGGGGTGGGAGGAGCCTGGGTTCTGTCCCGGCCGGTGACTAGATGTATCTCCCTGGACTAGTTGTCACTCCTCTGTTTCTGCAGCTGCCTTCGTGGCTCCAGTGGGCGTTAAAATAGCCCTGGGGTGGAGTAATACGTTCCATTGCCTACTCGCTTCCCCTCCCCACCTCCTCTTTAGTGGGCGCTTCTGGCACCCTACAGCGATTAGGGATGCTAACGCTTAAGCCCGGTGGTAAACCAGTCCCATCCCGCAGCGTTTCGTGGTAAGAGGGCTTACCGGCTCCTCAGAATTTGGGCATCATAATCAGTGGGTAGGCACGGTTCCCAGTACCAGATTGGTCACTGCGTCCCAGTCCTCGGCGCTGCTGCCGTGCACAGTGACCTGAGCTTAAAGCTTGAAGCCGAAGTTTTGGGAAATTCTCACTTCCTTTAGCCCAGATGTCTAGGCTTTCTCGAGACTTCTTGGTGATAGCTGCCCGGTTCTTGTGGTGCCCTCCTTCCTTGCCCTTGTTTCATCTCTCTTGAAGGACACTCTGACTGGACGTTTTAGGCCGCTTCATGGGCTCTCCCTGTTGTAGAGACAGCTTGCACCTGCCGGGGAGTAAAGCCCATGTTACCAAGACCTTGTCTGAGTCATAGCACTTGACACTCTTCATAGTTTCTCCTCATTTGATTCAGTACTCAGAGTTGATAACTTCTGCCCCATCTAGGGAAACTAAGGGGAAAGGGGAGGGACCAATCATCTGGTTAATATCAGAGCTGGGATAGCTCCAAATGGAATCCTACTGGCGTGGATAATCTGTGTGACTTAGGGCGAGTTACCTAAGTTCTCTGAGTCTCTGTAAGATGGGATGTGACTCTCTACCTTAGCAAGGAATGAGGCTTGAGGGAGAGGATGTGTAAAACCTGCAACAGTGTCTGGAATGTATTAGGTGATCCATAGATGTTCTCTTTTCCCACTCCCTCTTGTGCTGGCTTCATTTTATCAGAGAGAGAGGTAAAGGACTGAGAGCAATTTGTAAGGCAGGCATTTGTAGTAACTTAAAAAAAATCCTGTGAGAAAGCAGTACACAGATGTAATATTTGGGAATGTGAAGCTATACATGCCAATTCCGAGCTTCTGAAATAGTAACTCAATTTTTAAATTTTTTTCTTAAGACCAGAGGCTGTTTGGGGTCCATGTTCTGTGATTTCTGATTGATAAATGTAACTGAAATTGTCCCAGTTTGGAAATCCACAGTTTAATGTGGTTGGTTGGGTTGAATTGGCAGATTTACCAAAATGCTTTTCTCAACTGCTGCTGGTTGTGTTTTCCTTCTAGACCCAACATGAGTGATGTTCCCTGCAAAAAACGTGATGACTATTTGGAATGGCCCGAGTACTTCATGGCAGTGGCCTTCTTATCAGCACAGAGAAGCAAAGATCCAAATTCCCAGGTGAGTGAGTTTTATAGGAGGATGTTTGGACAATTACAGACACAGAGATACCCGCAAATGAGCCAATTACAAAAGGAAGGGACTCGGTGGACACTTGAGTAAACCTGTGTTTTGTGTGTGTTCCTACATTCTGACATTTTCCTGTGAGAGAGTAAACTGTCACATGCCATTGTACACTGCCCCTTGCACCCCCGTGGAGCTGGGGGTACACTTTCTTTGGCTTGTGGGAGCTGCCACAGAAGGCGAGGAAGGAGACAGAGAGCTCTTAGCACTTTGTTTTGGAGCTCTGCAGGCCTCTGGTTTCATTTACTGCCTCCTCGGTGGCAGCCACTCGCAGTCACCAAGCCTTTGGGCGTGTTTCCGTGTAGGTTGGAGCCTGCATCGTGAATGCAGAAAACAAGATCGTTGGGATCGGGTACAATGGAATGCCAAATGGGTGCAGTGATGACCTGTTGCCGTGGAGGAGGACAGCAGCGAATAAGCTGGATACCAAATACCCTTACGGTAGGGCATGCTTTCTGTTCCATTCTGCTTAGTGGCATAGCCTCGGTGAGTGCTTAAATGAGAGAGTTGGTCAGAAAGTGTCATCTCCCTTTTCAGTCATCAACAGCTGGAAAGAAAAAAAAAATCCTATTGAATTACCCCAATTTCCTGTCCCCATCCCTTGGGTTCCAAAGAGAGCCAACAGATGGGAGCGTGGTAGTGGTCACACTGCCTGGCCCCAAGGTCCAGGGCTGTGTTGCCTGCAGTGGGCCTGATGTGTTTTACGGGCGGCCTGCCAGGCTGTCCAACGCCAAGGCGTTGGTGGCGGGCTTCTCTGCAGAGGGCCACAGCCCTGATGGAGGTAGCTGAGGGATGTGCACGGTGACTCTGCAGAGGGCCACGGCCCTGATGGAGGTAGCTGAGGGATGTGCACGGTGACCCTGCAGCTTGTTTCTTGGCTGTGTAGAAGCAGAGCCAGCTGATCAAGTACTGGCCGGGGCTTTGCTCTGATGAGAAGCAGGCTTCCTCCAGCTCCTCCGTCTACCAAGGAAGTCTGGCTCAAGCTCGTCTGTGGGAAGCAGGAAGCACTGTGAGCTGGACATCAGGAGACGGATGGTGCGGTAGCCTCCTCCTGTTCCAGGGGCCTCTGCACTCCCAGAGTGGACGGTGGTCAGACCACAAGCCGGATGTGTGGACCCGAAAACCTTTGGCCTGGCTGTCTCCAGTTTTCATCTTTAAATTAGGGAAGGGTGCTTATGATTTGTTGCCTGTCTGAGCCCCAGGGAGAATCGCTTCAGAGATTATCTGGAAGGGACAAGCCACAGCTTTCCTTTTCCTTTCATTCCCTGGAGAATAAGCAGCTAATGCCGTAAAAGAGGCACATTGGGCTGCCTCTGCCGGTTGCTGGTTTTTCATAATGTTGGGACCTGTATTTATGTCTGGAAATGAACAGACCGGCCCTGTTGGAAGTAAAGTAGATTAAGGCCATCCAAATGGGAAAGGTTGTCCCTTCAGGAAACGAGGTTGAAGGCGTGATGGAAGACCTTTCTGCTTTGTTGGCTCTTCCCTGGTGGGTTTTCCTCATGAAGAATTCCAAGCCTGCATTTAGCCTAATTTATATACTTTTACTAATGTTCCTGGACCTTAATCATGTTAAATAAGCCCCATAAATTTCTTTTTAAACCGCTTCAGGGCATCTGCTCCGTTTTTGAAAGAAAAAGAAAAAAGGTGCTTAGAGGTGGAGAAGGGATTGAGGAAGGAGAGCGGGGAGAACTTCAAAGCATTCGGAGTTTTCAGGGACTAAAACGTAGTTTAATGATAAAGGGGATTTAATAGGCAGATTAGTCCCTCTAACCTCACCCCTGGGAGGAGGAGGAAGAGGAGGACGCCAGTGGGAGAGGGTAGAACCGTCTGCTGAGCCTCGGGCGTACAGCTGAATGGAGCGTGTGAAATGCAACATGTGCTAACGTATTTTGGAAACTTTTTGTCATCCTGATTTTGACTCTCTAAGCTTTCAGTGGTAAGAAAGAGGGGAAATGATGAGTTGTTTGTAGGTGCACGCAAAGGTGATTTTTCACACTCCGGTTCAGTGTGCCATATCAAAATCGCAGAAGTGAGAGGGTGGATGTGGTCATGATCTGCATTAAAATATCTGACTGCCGCAATGGTTATTTCACTGTGTCCAGACAGGGAAATACTGGTCCTTGTGCTGAACTCCATATGGAGGAATTCTTAGGAGGGGTCAGCCTGTGGCACTGAGGCTGGTTGCAAAATGATGTTAGTGGGTGGACTGGTGTAGAGGGGTCCTCATTTGTCACTGAGTGGCTCTCCCTGCAGGACCTATGCCTTCTTCCATCACTTAAGCCCCAGGCAGATTTGCAGCAGTGACCTAGAAGCCAAAGGCTTGGGAGCACATTTGCAATCCTCCGGCTTTTCATCGTTCTGGAACCTTTCAAGGAGCTGCTTTTGTTTGTTCTGAGATACTGCCTTTTGTCCAAGTTGGAGAGAGTACCTTTCAGAGCTTCTTTCCAGAAGCAATAAAAAAACAAAACCCCACACAGGCGTTTGTCCACCTTCGCTGATTGTTTCTTATTGGAGAGTTGCTGAGTTTCAGGGTACTGGTTGTCTGTCTGTATTATTTTTCACTATCCATATGATACCTCTAGGTTTTCAAAGCTCTTTGCCCTGACTTATCAATTATTCATTTTACATGTAGCTATGTTAGAATGTAGACAATTTTCTTTCACGAGAGTAGGCTTGTAATTTGATGTACCATAAAAGTCGCAGAAGGTATTAAATGGTTTTTTAAAAGGCAGTTAGTATTACTATCATCATAATACACGTAAAAATGGGCTTTAAGTCTGAATAACGGTGACTGGCTGTAAACTGTACACTTCATCTTGTGTTTTCAAGGGATTTCGGGCCATGGAGAAATAAATGTTTGGATAGCCTTGGATGTAATAGACATGTTTAGTGATAATTGACTAAAATGCAAATTCTTTTTTTACTTCTGTTTTTAGATTTAAATTAATTTAAAAAAAAACATTTTTTTTTTAATGTCTAGAATTGGGTAGGCTTAACCCATTCTTTCCTCACTGACCTTAATGGCAGCTGAGCTGCTGTCTCAGGCAGGATAGATTATGTGTTAATCCCTGCAAAAGAGCTTTAGAGATTATCTAGAATTCTAAACCAATGATTTCCTAATTCTTTTGAATATATAGGGACCCTCTTAAACGTCAAAAGAACTTCTAGAATCCCTATATAATGCTAGTTAAACTATTACTGTCTTTTTTTTAATCAAGGTATAATTGACACATGACATTATATTAGTTTCAGGTGCACAGCATAATGATTTGATATTTGTATATATTGCGAAATGATCACCACAATAAGTCTGGTTAACATCCATCACCATACAGTTACAAAAGTTTTTTTCCTTGTGATGAGAACTTTCAAGATCGACTCGCTTAGCAACTTTCAAATATGCAATACGGTATTGTTAACTGTAGTCACCATGCTGTACATTACGTCCCTGTGACTAATTTATTTTATAACTGGAGGTTTGTACCTTTTGACCCCCTTCACCCATTTTGCCCAACTCCCACCCCCTACCCCACCTCTGGCAACCACCAGTCTGTTCTCTGTATCTACAAGCTTGGTTTTTGGTTTGTTTTTTTTTAGATTCCACATATAAGTGAGATCATACATTATTAGTATCTTTTTTTGTGTGTGTGGGAAGATTAGCCCTGAGCTAACATCGGTTGCCAATCCTCCTCTTTTTACTGAGGAAGATTGGCCCTGGGCTAATATCTGTGCCCATCTTCCTCTACTTTATATGGGACGCTGCCGCAGCATGGCTTGACAAGCGGTACGTAGGTCCGTGCTCAGGATCCAAACCTGCGAACCCTGGGCTGCCAAAGTGGAGCGTGCAAACTTAACCACTATGCCACCAGGCCTGCCCCTAGTATCTTTTGAGTAAGAAAATCCATGATGACAGAAACCCTACTTGATGTCAGTAACGCTTTGCATTAATCTGAACTTCATTAAACAGCATTCGCCTGTGTTTGGAAAAAGTGTACGGATGTGCTAGAAGGTGATGTCTCCCCAGTCTGTGGCGCATGCTTGCACCCCTTGCAGAACCTCTATGGTGCTTCGGGGTTCTGTGCCACAGGGTCTAAGCCTACCCATTTCTTTTATGGATGGGAAAACGGAGGCCCAGAAATGGTAAGTAACTTCTATAATGCCACCCAGGCAGGGTGACAGCTCCTAATTCCGAGGTCAGTGCTCTTTGCTACCCCACTCTGTCTCTGGTGTGGGGCCCAGGAATTCAGCTTTTCTGAAATGTTGCTTAGCTCCTACCACAGTGCACCATGTGTTTTTTTCTCACTTTGAACCTGCACACACAGAGGCTTGGATGAAGTAACTCTCAGAGGTCAAGGGCACCTGGCATTAGGCGGAAAGCTATTTGCATATGGCTCGCTTTAACATTTCTCCAAAGGGGAGCTTGGGAAGTGTGTAAGTTTGAGTTTACCAATAACACATACAGCTTAATTCTCCTTATTAATTTGGTAAGTTTGGAAGTCATTAGTCTTGATTGACACTTTGTGGAAAGAAGGGAAACACAGAATACTTGTAACATAATGGGAAGATGGAGGTTTTTGCGGGCTTTGTCTCTGGAGAGGCGTTTTTAAAGGGTGTTTTTGTTCTTCCAGCCTTAGGATCAAAACTTCATGAAACTATTTGATTATAATGCAGTATTAATATGGAAAGTGAAAATTCACCCTGCCAAAGAAACTGCTTTTTATTTCATCCTTTTCCTGAAAAATCTAAAAGATAGTATGATGTCAGTTACGTTAAGTGGCAGGAAGAAGTCAGCGTTATTATAGTGACACCTTTTCACATGAATGACAATTTAAAAAGCAGCAAGCAACAGAGTTATCTAATTTACCGTATAACAAAGCTTTGGAGGATTTTTATTTTTATGAGGGGGTGGTTGCCAAACCCGGGATGAAGTATTCAGCTGACATTTTTGGCTCCTTTCTCTTTGTGAAATTCATTAGAGTAAAGCACACTTAATCGAAATACCGATTTTATAAAATGGAGGTACAGGACTCGTGGTAATTCAGATATCACTCTTTCCTTGGGTTTTCGTAACCAATTTTGATGACTTCGTTTACAGATCAGAGAGTTGGAGTAGAATCCACTCCTTTCATCCTTGAGAGCCGTTGTTAAACTTCATGTTTTTGATGGTGCTCCCTACGCTCATCAAGCTTGCATGTGTTTTCCCGCCACGCTGTTTTGTGTTGGCCGAGGGGTGTATGGGTAAGCATGCCTCTTTGCTTGGTCTCCTCTTCCATCCCCATCAATCAAGAAGCCAAGTTGGCTTGGCCCGTTGCATCACACTTCTTCATCACGGAAGGGACCATAGTCTTGATGTCCCGAGAATGAGTGGCAACCAAACTCTATACGCGTCAGGCAGAAATGGAGAGCGGGGCTCTTTCCAGAGTCAGTTCATATTTCTG